ACAAGTCTTAAAGTTGCCAAGGTGGGTGTCCGGTGTATTAAAGAACACAAAGAAAGTGCTTTATGTATTTACTCTGGAAAAAGTATATTTTAGAATTAAATCCTTCCACCACTAATTAAATAAAAAGCAACACAGCAGCAGTAAAGGTATAGACCTTTACTGCTGCTGTGTTGCTTTTTATTTAATTAGCAGGGAGGGTGAAAACTTGAGACATCACCCCCACCCCATACAGCTACTCTGTCTCCTCCAGGAAAGGCCTGCAGGCAGCCTGGAAGGGCTCACGTTTCTTTCTCTTTGGGTGGGGGTGGGGGTGGAGTGTCATTCCCCCTCGTAGCCCAGAGGGCAGCTCCCCACCAAGTGGGGGCATTTCCCACCTGCCCTCTGTGACCGTGAGAAGAGACGAGGCTAAGGGGGAAGGAGAGGCTGAGCTCACCTTTACAGGAATCAAAAGTGCTGGGGAGTATTTACTCACAATAGAATGCAAATTGTTCCGCTTTGGCAAACACTTTAAACACTGTGTCAATACTGCTCACTCAAGTCAAACAAAGCTTGGTACAAGGATTATGTAAAAACTGCAATAAAGATAGTCAATGCAATGCTAACAAGTTGTGTTCCTATAAAAAAAACCTGTAGAAAAAGGACCAAAAAACCCCCCATAAAAGCCGCTTGGGCAGGGTGTCCAAGCGCCAAGGACTTACCCAGGCTGGGCAGCATCGCGGCCTCCAGCCCGTGTGCAAAGTAGATGGTGGTGCCATAGAGGCCCAGGAGCTGGCTCAGCTTGCTCTCAGGGCTGCAGCGCTCCATGGCAGCAGTGAGGCAGGTGGGCAGGGAGGGCGCCAGTGCACCCAGCACCTGCAGCAGCAGGACGGTCACCACCTGGTGGGGGTTCTGGAAAATCTGCGGGAGGAAGGGAGGGAGGTAGGGAGGTAGGAGCAGGCCTGGAGGCTTGGCCAGAGGCCCTGAACGCAGGCCCAGGCGAGAGTAGAAGGCTGGGAAGACATGGAGACCGTCCAGGCCACCGACTGCAGCCAGCAAACTCGTTTCTAGAACTGGGCGCCAGACTCTTTTTTTTTTTTTACACCTTTTATGTGGCTTTGGAAAATGTTCTGAATATAGAACGCAACTTGAATAGCTTCATATAGCCTTGAATCGTTCTAGTCTGCGTATTTATTCAGCTGACCCTTGTCTGGAAAACCTCTGCCAGCATCTTCTCCTACAACTTGGCCCTCAACACCAATAAGACCAAGGAGCTTATAGTGGACTATAGAAGGAACAGATCAGACATCCAGCTCTTGGTTATCAATGGAGACCAAGTGGAGCAAGTGGTCAGTATTAAGTTTCTGGGTGTTACCCTAAAAGAGGACCTGACCTGGGGGGGCTCACATTGCAGCCCTGGTCAAAAGGGCCCAGCAGAGATTAGGCTACCTGAGGCTTCTCATGAAACAACAAAGGAATGAAAAACTGCTGGTGACCTTCTACCGCTGCACCATAGAGAGTATTTTAACTTACTGCATCTCTGTATGGTTTGCCAATTGCACCGGGGCAGATAGGATGTCACTCCAGAGGGTGAACGTCATTGCCCAGAGGATCATGGGTTGCCCTCTCCCCTCTTTGGAAGAGCTTTATAGCTCCCGCTGCCTTAAGAAAGCTCAAAACATTCTTAAAGATCCATCTCATCCTGGGAACCCTTTTTTTGAACTATTACCATCTGGCAGACGGCACAGGACAATAATAAAAACAAGGACAAACAGGCTGAAAAACAGGGCAGTAGCTCTGTTGAATTCTACTGTATAATAATGCAATATTAAGGCAATATCAGAGGTTTTCAATTCAATGTATAGAATGTGAAGTAGGTGTGTTTGTGTTTATTTTCATAGTCATAAATTGTATACTGAAGATGGCATTTAATTTCATTGTACGAGGTGCAATGACACTAAACTCAACTCAACTCAAAACTCAACTCAACTCCACGTCTGCTCCTCTGTGTGTGCAGCATCGCAGCTATGCCAAAAGCGACTCCAGCTCTGAGCTGCCACAGGCCGAGACGAATCCCACCTCAGGTCTGGTAGAGGAACAGGCCTGGGACTCCACGGAAGCCGAGGGCCCAGACGGTGATAGGAAGAGGGTGGCAGGGGATGACAGCACTGCTGGACGGGCCTTAGAGAGCCAGCAAACTCCAAGCGCAGCCATTAAGCCCACCGCAGTGATTTTTCCGCCCCTCTCCTCTCCATCTGCAGGAGTCAGCAAGGAGGGTCCTCCAGGCCAGAGGCTCCATGCAGGGCACAGGGATGGCTCATGAATCAGGAAGTCTTGCAAGGCAAAGGGAAAGAAGCTTCTCTCAAAGGAAACTGGGCAAAAGGCCTTAAAAATGGATTAGTCAGCAACACCCAATTATACCAAAAAGAGGGGCTAAGCCTCTAACATCCCCCTCCCCCCTTAAAAATGTACATTCTCCTGGTCAGTCAAGATTGGATCCTAAGGCAGCCTTCAATTAAAATCTACTCATGAGACATGTCAGGTAGAGATGTGGGGGAGCCATTGGGCTGCACCCCTCTTTCCCTCTTGTGCATTTGTTAAGCACAACCAATTCCTGCATTACGTTGTTGGAAAACGTAATCAAAGCCTGAAACCCCTTTTGGAACTACGAGAAAGCCCCTGCCCACCTTCTTGCAACCCACTTCCTGCCAAAAGAGGATCCTCTTAAAGCAGCCAACCCTGGCCCAGGTCTCTTCTGCTCCTTCTCCAAATGAGCCAGGCGCTAGATGGCTACCCTGCAGCTAACAGGCCGGTCTCCAACCTTGGCCACTTTAAGACTTGTGGACTTCAACTCCCAGAATTCCTCAGCCAGTTTTGCTCTTGTTCAGGAAGATAGGGGTAAAGGATGGGGTGTGCAGGCAGCACCCAAATTCCACAACAGGGGGAAGCAATGGATGTAATCCTTATCATTGGACCTTCTCGGTTGACTTGTGTATTTATTTATTTATTTTATTTTATTTATTTATTTTATTTGTCAATTGCTTACAAGATAATAAATAGGTATAAGTATAAACATAGTTATGAATACATGAAATGGGTACATATAAGAAAAATAAAAGAAACAAAAGGACAAGGACGGTAGGCACGTTGGTGCGCTTATGCACGTCCCCTACAGACTTCTTAGGAAAGGGGTGAGGTCAATAGGAAAGGGGTGAGACAGTCTAAGATTAAAGTTTTTGGGGTTTGGGGAAGAAACCACAGTCAGGTAGAGTATTCCAAACATTGACCACTCTGTTGCTGAAGTCGTATTTCCTGCAATAAAGTTTACCTTGAGTCTGTATCTATTGTGTGCTCTTGTGTTGTAATGGTTTGAAGCTGAAGTATTCATTGACAGGTAGGACATTGCAATGTATGATTTTATATACTATACTTAGATCGGACCGAAGGCGGCGTAGTTCTGAGTCTTCCAGGTCTAGAATTTCAAGTCTGGTGGCATAAGCTATTCTGCAACGAGTAGAGGAGTGGAGAACTCTTCTTGTGAAATATTTCTGGACTTTCTCAACTGTGCTAGTATGAGATATGTAATGTGGGTTCCAGACTGATGAGCTGTATTCGAGTATTGGTCTAGCAAATGTTTTGTATGCTCTAGTTAGTAGTGTGATATTACCAGAGAAAAAGCTACGTAAGATTAGGTTAACAACTCTTAACGCCTTTTTGGCTATGTAGTTACAGTGGGCTCTAGCACTTAGATCATTTGAGATTTCAGACCGTAATCTTCAAAACTATAAAGATGGACACCCAATAACTGAGATAATAGGAATTGCTTTAATGGAGCTTGGATTATTTGTTGCATTTTGCAGTGCTCCGAGTCTTACATTGCTATAATTAAGATTAAAACAAAAACAAAAAAGGCACATGGGCATCTGTATGAGAAAGCCATGCATGGAGCTGCTGGTGCCCTAGCTGCTTTGGTTACAGGAAGAGAAAGACCCGGACACATTTTAGGGAAGATTTTACGTCAGATTGTTTCAAGGAGGGATCTATTCGGGAAGGCTTAAAAGCCATTGCCTCTTGATCCCACCTGTGCAGCACCGAAAACAGTAATGCAAAACGCTTCTACAATTCTGTGGCTTTTCCTGATTGACTGCAAAGGTGCATCTGAATCACAGAAATTTTAAGGTGTTTATTGAAGACTTTGGACCTTGTAAAATTCCATGAACTAGGCAAGCAGACTTTTTTTTAACCATAAAAAAACTCATTAGGCCTATGCTTCAGGGGTGACTTATCAGCAAGAAAGATGATAAAAATTGATAAGCCCACTGCACATTTCCGCATCGGTCCCAGAATATCCTCGTTCTGAAGCTACTAATTCCTTTTTTTTGAAATTAGCACATTTTGAAATGAAGCTCAGTTTTCCATACTGAGCTTCAGGGCAGAATAGAAAAGGAGAAGGAGGCAAAAGGAGAAAATGTGCTAGGTGTGTCAAGAAAGCAACAGACTACACAAAGCCCTACCTGTTTTCAAAAATTCCATTTTTAATGTCAATGTTTCTTTCATCATTAATCTTAAAAGTATGTAATGAACTTGTCAGCCTAGGGGATAGATGGACCAGGAAACTGACTCTACAAAACAACTTGAGCTACCCTCTTTGGGGTAACAGAATCTTGCAAACCTCCCATCATTTTCCTCCCCTCCGGGAGCATGGGGGGACCCAGCCTGAGCCTCTTCCTCAGACCTTCCTGAGCTCAATGCAGCTTCTTCTGCACCTGCAACCTTTAAAATGTGTGGACTTCCATGGCTGGGGATTCTGGGAATTGAAGTCCACGGATCTTCAAGTTGGTGAGATTAAGAAGAACAGTGCCCTAATGGTTTCTGGGTGCCTTCTGCAAGGTGATCTCCCTACAGCACTACATCAAACTCCCCTGGCATTTATATTTAGCCATATTCCTGTGCAAATCTCTGATAAGAAATCTGAACAATCATTACATCCCATCTAGCATTTTTACAGTGCTTCCGTTTTTCCCATGACTAATGAAAAATGTTGGTAGGTACAGAGTAGTTGCAATCAATGTCACCTTGTAGGGCTGGACTTCTTCGTTAATGGTCTCTAAATACAGGTTTAGATGATTCTAGGGGGGAAAAACCCAGAATGAGTTGTCCCAAAGGTACTTTTTCAGGAGGCAACTGGACTTTCTTGCTTTTCTTTGAAGACATTTTGCTTCTCATTCAAGAAGCTTCTTCAGCTCTGACTGGATGGTGGGGAATGGAAGGATTTATATTATTTTCAGGCAGCTGGTCATTTGCATTCTTTTAGAGATTCGTTGAGGCCATCTGTGTCCTCAGGGTCACCTAATTGGTGCAAATGGGTGTGGTGCCTTCTTGGAACTGCTGAAAGGACTGTGCGGTAGACTGGGGATGGATGATGTCATATCTCTCCCCCCAAACCTCCAAGTGGCCTCTACAGGTCTCTAAAAGGATGCAAATGACCAGTCCTGTCAGAGCTGAAGAAGCTTCTTGGATGAGAAGAAAAGCGTTTTTTAAAGAAAAACTAGAAAGTCCAGTTGCTTCTGGAAAAAGCACCTTTGGGACAACCAATGACCTGGAGGACTGAGAATCACCCCAGACAGAATGAGCTGTCAGTACGAGAAAAGCAGATGTGGTGAGAGAAGTGGGTGATCACCAATGAGTTCCCACCCACCCACTTCCTGCAGAAAACAATAATCCTCCTTTTGAGATATGACAGGTGGGTGGAGAGAAAAGGTCTGGCAGAAGGAAACAGCTGGAGAAACAAAGATGACCACATCCCAAACCAAGCAGGGAGACCCTCTGGTCACTGTCCGAGGGGTACCAGGCCTCTTAATGAGGGATGAGCTTCACTTAAATCCTGCACGGAAGAATTTCTGTTTTCTTGTCAGAAGGAGCCTGCTCTGCGCCCGTTCGTGGCTTTACTCGCAGCTGAGGCCGCCTCATCGGCCACAAGGAAGCCGAGACGGGTTCTTGGGAAAGGGCCCAGGGGCAGCTCAGACTGTCAAGGGAGCAAGATCAGCCCGAGATGGCAGGCAAGCTCCTTCCAGGCCTCCCCAGAGATAAGCATCAGTTCTCCCCTTCACGGATGAAAGCCTCGGGACCTAATCGACCAAGCTGGCCGCTGCTTCCCCAAACTCCAGCAAACCAGTTTGCCAGCAGGGAACCCAGTCCTTTTCTGCTGCTGGGGGTGGGGGAGGCAACAGATCCTCTGCTGCAGTCTGGGACAGACCAGGGATGCACAGCTCCTCTGCCACCAGGGTTATATTGGGTGCCTGCCCACCAGCTCTGGTCACACACAGAAACACACACAGGCCACAGAAAAGGCACCAGAGCTAAAGGGCAGAGATATAGGAAAGCTCCACTCCAACACAGAAATCAAACAAGGTTAAAGCAAGACATCGGGCCATTTGCGGAGAGTTGCCAAAGATTCAACTGAGCATTTCCAAGCCGTTCAGGGATCCAGAGGGATTATCACCTGTCATCTTGGACAAGCAACAGTGACTGGGCCTCATAACTGTGGCAGAGTCTTTGGCATCTCAAAGAACAGCGGAGTTATTGCAGCATAAGCTTTTAGGGATCAAATACTGCCAATAATAATCAAGTATTAATTGAACGAGACTTCAGCTCTGGGCAGAAACCTGCCTCTATATACCAGGCGATGGTTACATGGATATCTAATTCTCTATCACACTTCAGGTTCATGCAACCACAGATCAGTGGCATCTGTTTGGGGAATGGGGAGCATAAGGGAAGCGGTTTGCCAATAATTAGTTTACATTGCAAACCCTTTTTATGTAAAGAATCATAAACGGTTTAATCTTGCAAGGAAAGTTCCTGCGGCACTAAATCCAGTCGAGCTACAATGGTTATTAAGGAAACCCTCAGGCTGATGGGGGCACAACATCAGGTGAGGCCAGAATCTGGAGCTTTGCAAGTTCTGGTCAGGTTGACTGAGCAATCTGGCCACATTTCAAGGAGATGGAGGAAGAGATAGAGCTGCAGGGATGCCTGAGGAGGGAAACAGCACCTGCTGGCCTCTGCTGCCTGGGCGGGGAGAGACTGGGCTCCTCCTGAGCACCAGCGTAGGAGGCCCTGGACCCCACAGAACCCTCCCCTCCCCAGCATGGCTGTACCTGCGTGGCCCACTGCAGCTGTGTGTGCCACGTCCCCAGCAGCACTTCGTAGAGCTCTGCCAACTGCCGATCCAGGAGGAGGTCTGACTGGCACAGATCCTGCCACGCTGCCATTAGCTGCACCTGGGAGCAAGGAAGAGGGTCAGGATCACAGCCAGGGTGAAGTTATTTGGGGTGTCACCGAGACAATGTTTGCTCTTGCCAAGAAGCATAGAAAATGGGGGGGGGGGGGAACTGGAGGAAAGAGACCCCACTGTCAGGTAGGCTCCAGACTTGTGCTTATTTAACTGTGCAGGGCCCGGGTCACAAGGCTGCCCTACGAACTGGACTCCTCTTTGGGGAGAAGTTGATAAACCACATCCAGCAATTCTAGAGACCATCATCCACATTACAACCTCTGTCCTCCGACTGACTCGTAAACCCCCTGGGGATTAAGCAGCGTCCTCGGAGCCATCTGTGAACCCATCACAGCAGCTCTTGGGCCCCCCGTGGATTTCTGAAGCCAAACCGCTGCCTGAAGCAGCCCCTGAGGCTTCTCCTGCGGCCCCACCTGGCCAGTGAGGAAGAGGGAAGAGGGCCAGGCTGGGCTGGGCTGCAGGGGACCAGCGTTCTGCCCAGAGCATGCCTCTCGCCTCGCCAGGTGTGTTGCGTAAGTCGTAAAATGGGCAAAGGCCCAACAGGTGTGACAAGACTCGAGGTCTGGAAAGGAAGGAGGGGGAGAGGAGGAGGAGGAAGAGGAGAGGTTTCTCAATTGGCTGCGTTCCAAACTTGCGCAGTTTTAGGTCTTAAAAGGAAGAGGGGCCCAATTCTCTCTCTCTCTCCCCCTCCCCCCTCTCCCGTTGCACCAGCCAACAGGCCTGCGAGGACCCTTGGCGGCTCTCGGCAGAACTGAGCAGGAGAGCCACGGAGCTGGGCTGGAGGGCCCGTCTCAAGGGCAGCCCTCCGCAATAGGCCGCTGAATGCTGCTCAACTTTTGGGGGGGACATGGGAAGAAGACACCCACCTACACCCCACCTTCGCTGGCATGAAGCCCCCCCAGCCGCCCCGTTCTCCCGGGTGGACTAGGCCAACCCTTGGCTCTTGAAGGCAGCTTGACAGCCGTGGACAAAAAGGCATGAGAGAGGGTGATGAGCACGGCACCCAAAGTTATGGGCTGCCCCTGACACCCCTGAAGGAAACCGCCAGGACCCGCTGCTGCCTCAGCAGGTGAGGAAAACCCTCCGGGACGATTCCAACCCTGGTCAGCACCTCTTCCCTCTCCTTCCGTTGGGCAGGAGATAAGAGAAGCAGAGCCGGCCGAAAAACAGCTTTTGTCCAGGGGCTGTCAGACTTCTGAACGCAACATACACACCGCAATTAGGATCAATGAGATAAGACGTGCAGGGCCAGCGCCAGGGAGGCTCGTTTCAATTTCACTGTGCACATGATGCGCATTGACGATAAACGTTTGATGGGTTGATTGATCACGATCGTCAACAGCCAGGGGCCGTTTCAGAAACTAGGCCCACGTTTCTCTCTGCTCCAGCCCAAGTGGGGGCGGGGGGGGAGCTGAATAAAAGCGGGCAATCTGCTTCAGCAGCCGCGGGGACCCCAATACCTTGTGGCACTTGTAGTAGTAAGCCAGCAGCTGCGGCATCCGGTCAATTTCCATGAAGACTTTCACAAACAGCCGGGACTGATCTAAAAGGAGAGATGTCCCTCCATTAGTCCGGCTTGCACAAAAGTACCTTCAGCCTCTGTCCCGATATCCTCCACCCACCCAAATGCCTCAAAAGCTGACCAGGGAGGCCCAGACCCTGCTCTGCCCACGTTCCGGTCCCCAGCAGTCCCACGGCCGTTAGAGCCCACGGCAGCACCCCTCCTCCAGGACGGTTCATGGGGAGGGCTTTTTGTAAGGAGCATCCAAGCAGAGGGAGAGGAGAAAGCAAGCCCTGCTCTACCTGCCACCGTCACGTCCTCCCTCCAACCTCCTTTCTTCTGCCCAAAGCCCCCTCAGAGCAAGAAGCCTGCCAGGGTGCGCTCTTCCGTTTGGTGGGGAGAATAATAAAGGCAGGGTGCAAATGATTAATTAAATGGCTCCCTCCACGTTGGGTCACGGTCCAAGCACACGGATGCCGTTTGCAATCCTGGAAACCCCTTAATGGAGAGAGAGCCACACTGCAGGCAGGGCCGCCAGCCACCACCGATGCTTAGCACAAGGCTGCCCCCACCTGGTAGCTCAGTGGCACAACTCCAAGAGACCCTGTGGTAATCACAGAAGGCGGCAATCAAAGGACGGAGCCCCACAAGAAAGGACAAATCTCCACCCCCAGGAGGCCTGGAAAGAGACATGGCAAGAGTCAGGCCTTCAAAAGCCCCTTTAAGAGGTTTAGGTGGGAACGGCCCACCCCCACCAAGGCCTCTCTCCAGCCTCAAACTGGCCAACTCTGCTGGTGGTCCTCCGTCTGTTTCTTCTTCAGAGGCTCTAAAGACCAGGGCGAGGAGGCCCTTGCCAACACCCCATGCCCCCAAAGGGCCACCCTCCACCGCAGGCAGTGCCCAGGGAGTGAGAGCTGTGACCGAATCCCCTCGTGGGACAGGAGAAGAAGAACAGAGGCCAGGTTTGAGGGTTTGAGCCTCGGGGGCCTAGGGGCGTCTCGGGAGTTTTGAGAAGGTCCTGAGGGGATGCTGGAAAACAGGCTGCCACAGAGAGTTTCCAGCTACCCCTTTTCTCCCCAAGAGGGCCAGGTGAGGGGGCTCTTGGGAGACGTTCCTGAAGGGGGTGGCAGCACCTGAGCTGCACTGCCCAAGGGACGAGGCACGGGCTTCGACTGCAGGGAGGCAGCGGGAGCAAGGCAGCCGTGGGCTCCCTTTTCTGGGTCACCCCAGGTGAATCAATGTCCTTGCTTGCTAAGCCCCAGCCCCTGGTCCCACCCACCACCCGGCATTTGGATTCAACTTACGACCATAATAGAGCCTGCCTATTACGGTCGTAAGTCGTGATATTCATAAAGTTGGGTTATCATGTGACCAATCTGATTTGATGACTCTTTTATTTATTTTTTTGCAGTGGTCATTCAATGAACATGGCAGACATAAAGGGGACACCATCATCATTGAGAGACCCCAGTGGTTGCTGTGGGGCATTTTGCTGAAAACCAAAAGTAAAGTTACTGTAAGCCACTCGGGGGGCATCTTGAAACAGGAGATGGGCAGCAAATAAATTTGATACATAAAAATAATAGTCGTGGTGGCGCTGTGGTTAGACTGCAGTATTGCAGGCTACTTCTGCTGACTGCCGGCTGCCTGCAATTCAGCAGTTTGATCCTGACCAGCTCAAGGTTGACTCAGCCTTCCGTCCTTCTGAGGTGGGTAAAATGTGGACCCAGATTGTTGGGGGCAAGAGGCTGATTCTGTAAACCACTTAGAGAGGACTGTAAAAACACTGTGAAGTGGTATATAAGTCTAAGGGCTGTTGCTAATAAATAATGAATGCCAGGTTTTGGCAAAAAAAGTTGTAAATCATGGCCACATGACTGCAGGATGCTGCAAACACTCATAAATGTGAGTCTGTTGCTGAACACCCCAAAAGCAGCCACATGGCCAAAAGGGAGGAGCCAATGGAACTTCAAAACCCAACCTTTTTTCTCGGGGGTGTGTGTGTGTGTGTGTCCCTTGTAACTTTGAATGGTTGCTAAGCAACTTGTCCTAAGTCCGGGCCTACCTGTGCTGCCCAATTCTCCAAGCACAAGAAGCTTTAGGTAAGATACCAAAACCTCCCCTCTTATTTTCTTGGTTTGGTGAGCGAGATTGACTTGGAGTCAGCAGTCGGCAGCATGAGACCAAATTCCTAACCGTGTTATTAGAAGGGCCCATTGAACTGTTGTGTCTGCTTCCACTTTACGTAGCCTCATTGAGTTGCCAAGGTTCAAGTGTCCCTGCCAAGGCCGGCCTCGGGTGCAGCTTTCTCCAGAAGCCTCACACGGGAGCCCCGTTCCTTTGTGCAAAGGCTTGCTAAACCTGCAACCTGCGTGCCATGGAACCATTTCAGGCTTAAGCCTTCGAGTCCCACTGACACATTTGCACCTAATCTGAACCTCCCCTGCACCTGAGCAGCAATCCTGTTCCCCGGCAGGCGCCTTCTGTGCAGTTCTGGGCTGGATCTGCAGGGAAAGCCCACAAGGCCCCCCTCTGCTTTCTAGCCCCCTTCCCTTGACCCACCTACAACACACACACACACACACACACACACACACTCACGGCCCTCTTACCAACGGACTGGGTGCTGAAGGCAGAGACAATCTGGGGGCTAGCCAAGGCTTCCAGGCGGTTCTTGAGCGCCTCCAGGTGCACACACTTCTCTGAGTAGTCCGGCGTGTCCACCAACACAGCCAGGCTGTTCTGCATGCTGGTTAGCTTGTTGGAGATGAGCGACACGTCCTGGCCGGAGAGGGGAGGAAGGCCGACTGGTTAGGCTTGGGCTCCCGAGCGAGACCCTCCCTGCTCCTTCCTGGGTGCCCTTCCTGCAGAAGAGCAGAAATGGTGGCCTTCTCTCTCCCCTTCTCTGTTTTTTATGGGCCTTACAGTCAGGGAGAGCCAAAGAATAAATAAATAAAAATATATAATTATTTTTAAAAAGTAACATTTCAGAAGTTAAAACTGGAAATCCTGAGCACATAAATTGAAATAATGTGCCAGCCTTCTTGTAGTCACAGCTCCCAGCCAAATGATCCTTCAGTACAGGGAGTCCTCGACTTGTAACCACAATCGAATCGACCCCAAAATTTCCATTGCTAAGTGAGACAGTTAAGTGAATTTTGCTCCATTTTATGGCCTTTCTTGCCAAAGTTAAGTGAATCACTACAGTTGTTAAGTTAGCAGCACGATTGTTAAATGAATCTGGCTTTCCCATTAACTTTGCTTGTCAGAAGGTCGCAAAAGGGGATTACATCACCTCGGACACTGCAACCGTCATAAATACAAGTCAGTTGCCAAGGTTCTGAATTTGATCACCTGACCTTTGGTGATGCTGCAACAGTTGTTAAGAGTGAAAATAGTCACGTCACTTTTTTCAAGGCCATAGTAACTTTGAATGGTCACTAAATGAACCACTGTAAGTTAAGGACTACCTGTATTTTAACAGAACATATACAGAGTCACAGTTTTATTTGAAGTTTATTTTGGATCAATCAAAATAAAACTCTAATGGTGAGATGGAACGTTTGACAGAGGAGGAAAAACAATTTTTTTGCTATTTCTGCTTCATGTTTTCTTAAAATTCAATAAAAACATTAAAATGTTCAATTTTAAAAAGGGAAGTAGAAAACTCCATGGTGAGAGGAAGACTTTAATTTAAAAATCAAAGAAAAAAAAGGAAATCAATACATTTTCTTGTTAAGAAAAAGGCCAAAACATAAGAGAATCAATGCAGGTCCTAAACCTCTCCCTGTTTTTGGCTATAGGTGTACTCTTTAGTGGTCTTGTTTTTCTTTTGGCTGTTTTGATTGATTTGTTGATGTTATTGTCCTTCTTATTTGAACTGTTTGCACCTCCCAGAGTCACATGCAGTGTATGAGATGGGCCTCAATTCAAGCCAGCGAGCACTTTCACAAGGACCACCAATGAAGAATCCCCAAAGGCCACAGATTGCAGAGGAAACCAAGATGGGGCTCGGGGCTGGCTGGGGGTGAGGGGAGGGGGGGAATTGCAACAGCCAATGATCAGAGCACAAGTCCCTCCCTTCCAGCTTCTTGTCCATTTGGGGGGCATTTTCCAAAAGGCACAAGCAGCTGTTTTTGGGACACCGCCTTCCCGGCCGCTTTTCAGGCAATACTGTAGGAACTCCCTTAACCCCCCAGTCAGGCCCACCTGGCCAGGAAGAGGCCACCTGCTCTGCTGGCAACAGCCCTGGACTGCAACAGGGCAGGATGGGCAGGAGCTGGAACCAGCCTCTGCTGCCTCTGTGGAAGCCGAAGAAAGATCAAGACCTCTGACCGTTGTGGGTGGGTGGGTGGAAAAGTGACTCCTTTCATTTTCTTCCTTTTTGTTATTGTAATCTGCCAAGAGTAGCCCCACAGCGAGATAAATAAACGAATAGAGTGGCTGGTGCAGTGGGAGTACAGAGGGCTGGGGGAAGGGCATGGGTGGGGGTGGGGCGAGACCTGCCCCTCCAACCTGCAACCTTCCCTGCCAGCTTCCCCACAGACTTTCTGGGGAAGTTGGCAGGGAAAGTTGCAAATGGCAATCATGTGATTGTGGATGCTGCAACTTTTTGAGAAGCATCCAAATTGTGACCATAGGTGGCTTGTGTGGCTGGTGTTGTGGTTCACCGACAGCTTGCAGAGCTGGCAGCAGAGTTGGATAGTGGAGAGGAACATGGGCCAGTCAGGGAGTCTGGAGAAGACTCAGACAAGGGTCCTGCGCCTGACACAGAAACGGGGCCAGGACCATCTGGGAGTGGGGTGCTGACTCTGGAGTCTCCAGAATCTGACAGCAGCGAGGAAGAGGAACAGGGGGAGCCTGTTCCCAGTGTGCACATGCGCAGAGCTGCCAAAAGGCAAGAACAGTTAAGACAAAAGGGGCGACTCGGGAGTAAGGCTTGAAGGTGACTGGCCCTCGCATAAGACATAAAGGAGGAGCAAAGGGACAGGAACCTTTGCAGGAAGCAACTTTGTTCGTTCTGGTTGATTTGAAACCTGAAGCTCCATGTTGAATTTGTGCTCCATTTGACCTTGTACAACTAATTGGCAATTTAGTCGTTGGCAGCATTTCAAGATAAAAGTGTGTGCTTATCAGACTTATCCCGAAGGACTTTGGCAGACTTCTGTGGGACTATTTACAAACTGTTTGAGATTCATTACGGGCTGTGAATGACTATAATTCACAGTTTTTGAAATAAAACAAAAGGTTTTTGGGACTAAGGTGTCTTTGTTAATGTCTCAAAAAGCCTTGGTCAGAACAGCTGGAACTCCGAGGACCAGTTTTAACCGCCATTCACTCAGCACTGTCATAACTTTGAATGACTGATAAAAGAATGGTCATAAGTCAAGGAGTACCTTAGATTGCAGGGGCCCCCCAACCACAAGGCCATAGCCCACTACCGGGCCCATGCACCAGCCCACTGCTCGCATGGCTCAGTTCTCCTCTCCCTGCCAGCCGGGCCATCAAGCCGCAAAGGTTGGGGACCACTATTATATTGTATTTCTGAAACCCATTGCAATTAATAACACTACCAGGTTCGTATGATGGAATAAATGCAGTTAATCTCCAAGGCAGAAATAAAACAATAAGGAAGAAGATTCGGGCTAGGAGGAACTTTCTGACTTTATGAGCTGTCAGCCAGTGGAACAAGAACTAGTGCACTATCTTTTGTTGGAGGTTTTGAAACAGAAATGTGATGATCAGCTGTCAGAGATACTCTGGTGGATGCCAGACTAAACAAATGGTTGAATTAGATAACTCTAAGATTGCTTCCATATCAAATTATCACAAATTAGCTGGTTTACCTGATCTCTGAGCAGCATTTAGGCCAGTGGTGGCTAACCTTTTTGGGCTCCCATGCTGAAAATTGCACGTGCACTCGTGCGCCAGCACCCAGAAGGCAATGCTCGTGCCCCCTCCCACGCTCCTGCGCACGAGACCCCCCCATGCATGCCCCGCGCATCTTTGCGCATGGGCGCGCATCTCCCACACACTCTGCGCATGCACGCCAGATACCCGACAACCAGCTGGTGGGTGGGCAGCACGTGCGCATGCGCAGTGGGGTTCTTCTAGGCGATCTCTCACGTGCCGGCAGAAGTGGCTCTGTGTGCCACTTCCGGCATGCGTGCCATAGGTTCGCCATCATGGATTTAGGCATTCTAATCTGTTTTCAGGATACGGTTTGTAGCTGTGAACATTGAAATACCTGTGTTTTAAATGTCTCTTCAATGTCTGCACTGAGCGTGCTCCACTTGTCTGCTTCCTGGAGTGAATCAACAGCCAGCTGCATTCGGGACTTCACATGATCGAGTTTGACTAAGACCTGAAACCAAGAGAGGAGAATTTCTGTAGCTCAAGGTTGACCTGAGGAATCCTTGTTGCTCTCTGAGCTGGGTTGTTCACCGGCAGATGTTTCATTACCTGACTTGATATCAGTTACCTAACATCACCAGTGCCAGCAGTGTGGGTTTTGCTCCCTGTTGATAAGATCTGAAAAGAGTCCGCATTACAGGAATTGATTTCCCAGGCTTTGGACAGGTAAAAGCCCACTTGAAAGACTGGACAAATTTCTGGTCATCACAGCCTAAAATGCCATCAACAAACTGAAACTCGGAGAACGGCTACCTGGATGGTATAAGGCAGCGCTTCCCAATCTCGGCAACTTTAAGCTATGGTGAACCTCAATTTCTAGAATTCCCATAGCTGGCTGGAGAATTCTGGGGGTTGAAGTCCACAAGTCTTAAAGTTGCCAAGGTTAAGAAACACTAGTGTGGGGACTAAAAACAAAATTCTGAGTGGGGTTGAAAGGAAGTGGGGATATTTAGCCTGCAGGAGAGAATAACGGTCTTCAGTGGTCTTCAGACAGTCAAAGGGCAGTGGAGTCTTCTTCAGAGGCAGGGCCAAAATCAATGGGAGCAGATTCAGCTTAGAGATGAAATGGGCTGCCTCAGAAGTGCTGTGTTCTGCCTCACTGGAGGCCTTGGACAAGCCGGAAAAGTCATTTGTCAGAAATGCTTTAGTAAATCCTACACTGAGCAGAGTACTAGATGATTTCCAATCCTTCCTGATGCAGGATTTTAGGTACCCTAAACCAGGGCTCTCCAACCTTGGCAACTTTAAGACTTGTGGACTTCAACTCCCAAAGCTGGCTGAGGAACTCTGGGAGTTGAAGTTCACAAGTCTTAAAGTTGCCAAGGTTGGAGACCCCTGCTCTAAACCGAGCTATTTCCTTCAAATGAAAAACAGAAATAAATAACTAGGCTTAACCGCTAGGTAGCTTGCAAGAGACCAGTTAAATTCATTTAAATAACTATTTCTGTATAATTGTAAAACATTCATACTGCTGCCTGAATAAAATATCAATTTTTAAGGTTGCATCTTTTTTCAGGGATGCTCATTTTTTATTTTATTTATTTATTTATTTGATTTGCCAATTGTTTACAAGATAATAAGTATAAATATATACATAGTTGTGAATACATGAAATGGGTACATATAAGAAAAATAAAAGAATAAGAGAAACAATAGGACAGGGACGGTAGGCACGTTGGTGCGCTTATGCACGCCCCCTACAGGCCTCTTAGGAAAGGGGTGAGGTCAATTCCGCCACAGGTGTCCAGGAAGAGAATGTGTCTGTCCAACCCTTCAGCCTGGAGAGGTACCTGCATGGACTGAGCAGTGTCTTCCTCCAGCTTCTTAATGTCTCCCTTCACCAGGACCATCTGCTCCTTCAGGAATGCTGCCTCCTGCTTCAAGGCTTCCACTTCCCGCAGAACTCTAGGCATGCTCTGGAGAGCCTGGTGGCTTGTCTCTGTAGGAAAATGAGAAGCAGGAGGTCAAGCATGGCTGCAGGGTCCCAGAACACGAGAGACAGAGGCTGCACCTCTGCATTCAACCTATCAATAAAATCCATTATTACAGACTATAAAAATATTCGTCTTATTACTAAAATTTCACTCTCTTCTCACTTTCACTATGCGTCAAAAATGACAATATAAAATATTGCTTTACATTTCAAATTTGTGTTCATTTCAGGTATCTCAAAAGTAAGTTTCTTGCAAAAGAGCACAGAAAACCATATTCAAAATTTAGAAGTGGGAAAACTCTTGCCAAAAGTAGAAAAACAAGCTTAGGCTAGCCACTTAAAAAAAAAAAAAGACAGCCTCACAAATATTTGTATTTTAATATAAAGTTTTAAATACATAATATCTATAATTTATAATATCTATATTATATTAACCACTGTACCACATAATATATCTTGATTAAACTGTTGATTAATGTTGATATAGCAACTTTAGCAAATGGCTTCATATCATTGCAAACAATGCCAGAATCTAGTTTAAAATATATATACATGCATATGTGATATATAGTAGTTAGGAGATTATTGTTATTAAATCAGAATGTGATATTTATAAAGTGACTATATTATGATAAATTTTGATTATGGATTAAAGGGGAACAAATTGAGGGACATATAAGACAAAGGGGTGGTATACTCTAATTGGTAATTAAAGGGGGAAAGTTTTGGAATTATTAGATTTAAGATGAAACTTACTGGATAATGAAACAAAAGTATGCGTTAAAATTGCAAATGTGACAGATAAAAGCATAAAGGTGTAATGAATTTAGAATAAAAAATAAGAATGTTAGACTATAAAACAAGACATGAGACTATTTAAAGAAAAAGGAATTAAGATATAAATTGAAAATGGATTCAATAAGTGTAAAGAAAATAAGAATATTGGAGAAATTTATGGGAAAATGGAAGTAATGATATGATATAGAATTGAATGCGAAAGATATATACTAAGGTCATGTTTGTATTGAAGTGTAAAAACCTGGAACCATGTTGTTCACTGACAGAGATGTTTCTAAAGTGTAAAAATAAAAAAATTATTGCAAAAAAAACGAAAAGAAGAAAAATCTGCAATGCAAACATAATCTGAGCTGTACACAGCTGTCCAAAGCAGCCGCTTCAAGAGCAAATTCCTCCTCAATGACAGCAGCAGAGTCACCTTCCACGGCATTGTTGACCTCCTGGATAAAAAGCTGCAACTTCATCACCAGGGTAGCAGCGTGAGCATCCACTTTGCCGGGGGCCTCCTGCTGCACAGCCCGGAAAGCCCCGTTCACCCAGGCCTTGACCTCAAAGTCATCAGCCAGGAACTTGGAGAAATCCATGGTGGCTGCCACACCTTCACCCTCCCCTGGAGCTGGTCAGCCACTATGGCACCTGAGGACACAGGAGCAGAAGCCATAGTTCAGCAAATGCTTTTGTCTGCGGAATGTCTTAAATAAAATAAAAAAGGAATATAGGGGGTTAGCACTGCTCTTTCAAACTCTTTTCCTCCCCCCTCCCCCCTTTTTGTTGGCAACTATAAAACAGGCATGGTAATGTTTTATGAGTCTACATCAGCATTACTGTGCATCCAGATGCCTGAGGACATCCTCTGCCCTGGATAGAGGATTGAATCAGGAGACACACACACAAATCCTAGGATTCTATGAATTTGGCAAGCAACGATCCCCTGTGAAGTCCTTGGTGTTCTCTGAGCTTGCCTGTTTCCTTGCAGCAGTCTCATTACCCAGCTAGGCAATATCATCAGTACTGGTGAATGTGAAGTTTGCTTCCCGGTTATGTATAATCCCTTTATTACTTTTATAAGTAACTCAAAGTGGTAAACTATTATCCAACACAGTTTCCTCCTATTTTCCACAATGGGTTGAGCTGAGGCAGGGCGAGTGGTCCCAAATCACGCAGCCGCTTTCATGTCTACGGCAGGACTAGAACCAAAGCCCTCAAAGGCAGGCTGTTTGTTGCCTCCAGCTGAGGATTGTTTCAAACTATATTCCACGGACTTCTATGAAAACTTAATGGGGTTACAAAAAGAAAAAGAAAAAGAAAAAAAAAGTTCGCCTAGACATTGCCAATTTTTTAGAGCTTAGCTTCTTGATTAGGGTTCTGGTTTTTTTTTTCTAATTAACAGGTTCCAGTGCCTGAAAAAGTTTGAAATCCTCTGCTCTAGTTCTGCCAGAAGAGTTGTCATCAGAAAGATCTGGAAAGATTAAGGTTACCTACTTGCTCTCTGAGCTTATGAAAAAAAATGTACTCCAAGGACAACTTTAAAGAAAATGCTGCATCTTTATTATTTGAAACCTGTAATTAAAAGAAATCATAGGGCTGGAAGGGACCTTGGAAGTCTTCTAGTTCAATCATTCTTGAATTTCATGACTGTCATTCTTTAGCTTTAATGGAGTGATGTTAAACCTAGCAAACTGCTATGTTTGTCTAGATGTTATGCTATCTGTCATCTATCTATCTATCTATCTATCTATCTATCTATCTATCTATCTATCTATCTATCTATCTATGTATGCAAAATACCCCCCACGCATCATCACAAAATCTCCAGAACCAGAAAGCCTACAACTTGCAATCTGGCATGTATGTTCTTTTTGGCTTCTAGGGGCTCACTAAGAAAGGATTTTTCAAAAAGACCACCAGAGCATTGGTATTTCCTGTATTATTATTATTAACATGCTCTGATGCTAAGGAGTTCTACTCCCCCTCCCCACCTGAAAGGAAATCTCTTCCAAATGCAAAACACAAGCAGAGGAGTTTCAGTTTCACAGCACCAAGCAGCTTTAGTACAGAACAGTTGAGCTAAGCCACGCCCAGGCTCCTTGCTGTCTCCTTCTTGCTCATACAGCAAATATTGTTCAGTTTCCAAACAGCCCTCAACTCTTTCACACACTGACAGGACACTAGCCAGATGAATACTGATGGATGCTGGTAAGCAGAGGCAGAATTCACCCCACCCCGTTGTTTTTCTCCCCAAAAACTAAGCCTGACTGCGACCACATAGTTTTGTACAGGTATCGAGCTAGTTACTTATAGCAGGGGTCTCCAACCTTGGCCACTTTAAGCCTGGAGGACTTCAACTCCCAGAATTCCCCAGCCAGCAAAGCTGGCTGGGG